TAGCTTTAAACCAGGAAATATTAGGAGTGTAGATGCCATATTATAAAGCACTTTTTAAATAAAGGTACATTGGAGGATTTTCATGTTTTTTTAAAAGACCTGTCCTCTTTACTATCAAAAAAAAAAAAAAAATGCACATGCACAACCCTGTACCAGCTCCCTAGAGGGAACGCCTATTAAATGTGTGTGAGAGCGTGCACGAGCCCATTTCTCCTTGTGCACGCTCTGTTTAAAAGTTGCTGTTTACATCGCTCATATAAGCTAATTAAAAGAAGATTTGCAAATTTTCCACTGTGTCAGACTCACCACTGGTAAGTGAAAATGGGGCCGAGCACGTAGAACGGCTTTACGTAAACATATCACCGGAACAATTGACAATCGGAGGACCATTTATTTTGATGATCCACTCGGAAAAGAGCCTCCTCCACTACAACTTTAAGTTTATAGTTTTATTTAATCAGTAAAAAGAAAGTGAAAAGTCTCATATTAATGAAATACAAAAAGATTCATCCTTCTGTGGACTTACCATTTGTTATAATAGCGCTGGTTGCTGATGGCACTTTGAACTGGAAAAGAAAGGGAAGGAAAAAGAGGTGTGTCGTCACACAACCCTTAAAAGTGAATATCACAATAGAGCTAATTTTTAAAATGTTGTAGCAGTATAAGGTACTTACTAAACAATTTGAACTGCACAAAGCTACATTAACTGACTAATCATTTTAAAGTAAAACAAAAGCACATATTTAGAAAAGTAAAAGCTTTTCATAGCAATACAACTCTGAAAGTAAAAAATATCCTGGGAAATTAAAAATGCTGTAATGATCAGAGAACTGTTTTGTGACACATAGGAAAAAGTACAATTGTTTTTCCGAAATTCCTTCATCATATCTTGTATTTGAAGACAAAGATCCTAAACACACAGAGCAAGAAAAGATGAGGGAGAGACAGCCAGGCTCAGATTTCTGGGAGAAAGTCAGTCAGCCCAATCACAATTAAGGCCATACTTCAGCGCGTTGCAGAAAGAGGATGTGAGCCGGGAGGATTTACAGAGGGATGGTGGAGACGGGAAGTCTGGCAATAGAGCGATAAGGTTGGCCAATAACATCCAACACACCACTACCAGGTCAAATAAAAGGCGATTAAACCTAAAACACAGGTCAGATCAAACTCAATTATTTGGCTTTGTCTGAGCTGACAAAAGTCGGTATCACTTTGCTCCAAAATTCAAGAATTCAAATTTGCTCAAACTTACAACTGTTTTTTTTTTTTTTTTACTATTTTATGTCTTTTTAAAAATAAATAAGGCACAGTTATTACACAAAAAATATGGTAAAAGACCAACTTTGGAAAGAGTATTTCACAAAACAGTTTCCCCAAAATGATTAAAACAGTGTAATTGAAAACAAGTTCTCTTTTCAGCTCCATGTCTTTCCGGGGGCTGTGTTGTGTGTGCCAAACATTCACTGCAGAAACACAATGCTCCATCAGTATGCTGCTTTGTAACTGCATTAAATTAACACCCTGCCAGCACTTTGTAAAAACAGCACATCAGTTCAAACACTTGTAGCTTTAATCTCTCTCAGGGTTTATGAACACAACAAGAAAAACACAACACAAACAAACAAGAAAAACTGAATAACATAAAAGCAAAATCCTCTGAGTGACAATCATGCATCAAGTATTCAACATATGAAAATACTCTGCACCTGTGTTGCTTAGGCAGGATTTATGTGTCAGACCTTGGCGAAACAAATGAATGAGATCTCTGTCAACATAAACCAAAACTGGAACTTCGACACTTTTTTTTGGCAGACGCACAAATAAGATCACATACGTATATAAACATCCCTGCTGAAAATCAAATAGATCTGAAGCTGCAGTCTATGTAAATTTGACATGATACATTTACATTTTCATCCAAGGATTTTTATATCTTCTAAAAATGATGCTAGTTTTTATTTTTTATGTAATGGCTGTTTTAAATCTAATACCTTGTGTTTTTGTTTGAAAGGTTGTTTTTAGATTATTAAAGTTGTCCTATACGTATGTTTATTTTCTATTTTTTGATAACAATTTTGAACAAAAAGTACAAGGTTGCCTGGCAGCAAGTAGGTCCCAGTTTTAAAACTGGGCTTTGAGTCTTTCTGCATGGGGTGCGCATGTCCATCCACATCGGTTCTCTTTGGTTAATCTGGCTTCCTCTGAGTGTTCCTTAAGTGAACGTGTGTTTGTGTGTGTGTGTGTGTGTGTGTGTGAGTGAGGGCGTGAGTGCATGGTTGTTTGTCCAGTGATGGACTGACAATGTGTTCAAGGTGTATTCCTCCCATTAACCTAAACACTTGCTCTGAAAGACAAGATGTAGAAGATGGATTGATTCTTTCATTTAAGTAAACCAGACCTTTGCCTCCCATTCAGTGCATCCAAAATGCTCACGTTTTATCCTTTAAAGCAGTGTCGGGCTGCAAGTAACCATTATTTTGCAAATCGATTAATCTGTCGATAATTTTTTCGATGAATTGATTAATAATCAAATAGCCACACTGTTAAAAAAGTAAATGGCAATTGTTGTTCTAACACACAATTGTATTGTAATCCGACTCAGAAATATAAATTTGACATCTAACAAATAAATACACGTTTGCCCAACTCAAATTCTCAGAAGTTGGTTTAACAAGGAGTTTTAAATCGCCTATACAATATTTTTTGAGTTCCCTCAACTGTAAACTCATGGGCATGCGCACTGCTTATGTTCATGGACACGCCCACTACGGTACGGGGTTTCCTATCCCTTTCTTCAAGTGCACAGCCTTTTTCCCTCGTGTTTGAGAAGATTGGCGGACATTGTGATTTTATGCATCTGGAGAACCACGGAGGAACGACCCTGGGACCTACCAGTTTTCTGAATCTTTTCTTTTCCCGGTGAGTGCTGCAAAGTACAGACAGTTAGCGGTTAGCTCCGTGAGTTAGCATTCCCTTGTGGTGTATTGCCACCGAGTTGAAGCATGAGTTTGCCTGTTATTTTCATTGTACAAATGAAAAGAGACATTAAGTTGAGTGTAATAACTTATGAAATTTCTAAATTGTTTTATGTAGTGCAGTGTTGTTGCACTCAGGCACAGAATATTACAAGACTACATTATTTTACTTTCTTAATCCGATGTGGGTATTTACTGTTATTTACATTATTTGCATGTGGATTTTTTGCTTTCATGATTTTATTTGCTTTACAAGAAAAACAGTGACATTAACATTTTATATGTTAACCCTGTAATGCAGCAGTTAATTCGTAATGAGTTAGAAAAGTTACATTACACACTGAAATTTATCATACTTGGAGAGATATAAACTGTACAGTTAAGAACAAGAAGTGAATGGATTTAACTAAGCCCTGTTGTGCTATGCAGGCAGGGTTTTTTGGATACCCTGGATTCTGGATTCTCTCCTTAAATGGAGATGGCGAGCCAACCGTGCGAACATCTGGATTTGGACTGAAGAGAAGGATTTGGACTGAAGAGGACTTTCTTTTTTTGCATTCATCGTCCTGTCGGAGTGGTAGGACTAAAAAGAAAAACTCAGAGATAAAAAGGGAAAACCTTTTTCTTTTTCCGTTGGGAAACAAGACATTTTATTTCATTTTATTTTTTTTAAAGGATGCACCCAATTTAAAGAGACTACAATTGAAAAAAACAAACTGAAGGCCGTCCAAATTTGTAAAACTGTTATTTTTTCATATATGTTAATACACTTACTTCACAAAAAATTACCTGTGTGTTTTCCTCTTACTAAATCGGGGTCTTACTGTTTTTTCCCTCATCATCACTCCCTCTTACGACTCTAGAACATTCTGGTCCAGTGTCAGGTTACTTTGATCTGTGCAGTTAAGATTATGTTGTTGAACATGGTTTTATACTGTATCTATTGATGCAATGTTTGGCTTGAAGCAATAAAAATGTTGTATTAACATAATTTTTTGTGTGTTGAAGGATTGGTAGTGAAGACGATTGGTAGGACTAAAAAAACTGAGTTGATAGAACTCAACTTGCAGATAACACTACAAAATCTGAGTTTGTAGAACTCAAAATCTATATGTCAAACTCATAAAACAAAGTTGATAGAACTCAGAACTTAAAGGTGAAATTCAAAAACCTAAGTTGGTAGAACTCAAAATTTCTATGTAACACTCCAAAAACCTAAGTTGGCAGAACTCAAAAATCTTTGTAAACTCAACCACAGTGAATTTAAGTAAGGAAAACTCAAAAAACCAAATGCATCACGTTGCCTAGAAAATTTAAGTTCTTTCAACCTCTATTTTTTTTTCAGTGCAAAGGTTCCTTACAGAAGATGTATTATGAAAGTAAACCAGGGGAAAACTTGAGTGAGGATAAAGCATGTTGCCAAATGCAAAATGTTTATATAGTTTTTTACAATTTTGATATAATTACTGCTGTAAGTGGGTTGCTCTGTCAGGTAAAGGCGCATTTTACAGTCTCTATACTCCAGTTAATGATTAATTAAGTACTACATTATAAGACGATTATTTCATTAACCGATTAATCACGATTTACCAGATCAGTTGTTTCAGCCCTAAGGCAGTGTACCTGAGTCTTCACAGTTTAGAACCATGAGCGAGTACAGCCAATGAGTTTGAACTGTAACCCCGCCCCTAACCTTCTACCATTAACGAACCTTCCTCCCAATCTGCATGCAGCTCACAATGCGCACATCTCGTAATGAAACTAATGAAAAAAAGCTTTCTAGGAGGACTACAGGTCATTTTGCTATAGAAGCAGTGACATAAAGCAGTGATATTGCAATTTTCCTTTCAGTGGCCACCATGCCGCTCTGTTTACAAGATGTGCTGTGCATCCGCTTGGAAAAAAAGCGCTTAGTGGTTGATTGGAAACCGGAAGCTCTACAGAAAGAAACCCATTGCCTCACTAAAGGTAGAGACCTACAGTCAAAATATCTGGACTTCAGCTTATGTGCAATCAATGAGTAATTTATTTGAATAAAATTACCCGTTCTAGCACAGAAGGTATAAAGAGGAGGTGGGAAAAGGGAAATATGGTTATCTCACTTGACAGTAGGGCCAATATCTGTCAGTTTCAGTGGACAATAACAGGGTCGAATACATGGCGAGAGTTCAGTTGGAAGAACATGATCAGGTACTTTATTATGCCTATCCAGAAACATCATCAAGGTGGTAGGGATGCATGTTGGAGACTATGTCACTGGTGCCAACCACTTCCATATTTTTTGGGAATGCCACAATATAATTAATTATTGGACATATAATGTATTTAGTACTAAAATTCCCCTTAAAAGTGAAACCCTGTATTTGGGTGATGTTCCTTTGACAAAATGAAATAGCAATGATAAAAAATTACTTGGTATGTTACTTATTGCAAGTAAAAAGGCCATCACAAGAAGGTGGCTAAGAGTGGAATCTCCAACTATTGAGGATTGGATCAATATAATACATGAAATATATGTCACGGAAAAGTTGTCTTTTCCCTCAGGATACAAAAGGACATGTTTTACAAAATCTGGACTAAATGGACTGAGTACATAAAACCCTTAAGGTCAGATTTTGTATGAATGATACGTTTCTGTACTTAAAACAAAAAAACTCTTGTCTTGTGAATATCGGCATACTTCCCATATATGTTTATGTTTATATATGTCTTGATACTGTGAAAATGTTTTAAAAAATATCTGTTCTGCTACAGGAGTATACCATGTAAAAACAGAGATTTTTTCTTAGAGATTAAATAAAAGCAGGTACAAGAGCTTAATGTGTATATATATATATATATATATACACACACATATACACACACACACACACACACAGAACCAGATAATTTTATGAAAAACCTGATTTGTGAAGTTCTAGTTAGAACTAGTACAGAATCCCTCTATAATCAATTAGCCCAATAACTAATTTTTGCAACAGGACCCAAATAAAGAAAATTCAACTGAGTTTTATGTATGGCAAGTCTCCACTCCCCACACGTTATTTTGGATGTGGTCACTTAAGTCCCAATTGCAGCAGAAATAAGGAAGAACCCTTTAATCTTTCCAATATAATGCATTAAAAGGTGATGTACAAACTTTTAATTGATCTGTGACCAACTTCAATTCTGGAAAGAAGTAAAAGTATGACTCTAAAAGCCATTCCAAGAATATCTCATTCCCTGTTCAAGTCAGAAAAGAATGAGGGAGAAAAAAAAAGGATTTTTTTAGAATGAGACATCTTACTGGTAAGCAAATATTTCAAGCAAAATGTGAGCCTACCTCTTCAGCTGCAAACTTTAAGACCGCTGTGAATGGTGTGCTTTCAGGGACACTTAATCTAAAAAAAAATAAACAGCAGAAAGAAATTCAGGACTTTTATTTTTCCTTAAAACTAGTTTTACAGCTACACTTCTTAAAAGCCTAAAAGGGTTAATCTTTGGGGCTCAGTTTACTCTAACTTTCACGAGGAGCAAAAAAATGATCAAGGTTTATTGAGTACAAAATTAGAACAGAAGAACAGAAAACAAAGTATGTAAATTTTAAGATTTCTTGCACATTTATTATTCAGATGCCCTTTATCTAAAACTAACAGCTGTCAACAGAGACCTCCCGAGGATATAGCAGAACACAACAAACAGATTTCTAAATTTGTAAGACTTAAAATGAGATAGTAAGGCACACAAAAAAGAGCTCTTGTCAGGGTGAGCAAAATCAATTATGGAAGGCAGTGCAGCAGCAAGAAGCAGAGAATGATGCACCAAGTTAGGCAGCACTTTGAGAAAAACATAGACAGCTCAGATAATAAAGGCTAATGAAATGCTTAAACAGAGGGTAACCTTTGAAAGGCTCGCTCTTAGCTCTTTTACAGACCCTAATGTGCCTTTATTCATGCAAAGAGCTGTAGTGAGACCTGCTCTGACCCACTGTGCTTAATGGTTTACATTTAAATCAAAAGGTCAGATTGCTCTTCCTGGCCTGAGGGTTTTAATGCCAATGATTTCTCACTTGAAAACATTTTAAAAAGTGCAGCACAGGTTAACGTGTATTTTTGGGACTTTTTTTAATATGCTAGGGAGACTTTTCATTATCACAGCTTTTTTAATTAACATAGAACCAGGAAACCCTTAATGAAACGAGATCTACATCAGATAGATCAATCAACAGAAATCCCATTTTGGTCTTTCAGCACATGCATGAGGGGATTCTGATTTCAAAGGTGCCTGGCTCATGCCCCTAAAGTCCCGGTTTAAGCTGTTCAATAAAAGCGATCAACTCTCTGTTGCAAAGGAAACTGGTTTATCACAATCTAAATGTATGACGAAGTAAAATGATGGTTGATTCATGTCAGCTAATGCTTGAACATAGGATCAGGGTGGGGGGGGCGAATTTATAGTTTGGCCCAAATTATTTAAATACTCCGTAGACCTAAGAGTTAAACAATTTCACTCCAACTAATTTTCTTTGTAAATCTTGTAAAATGCTAATCTAAAATTATAATAAAATAGATGAGAGTTTTGCAAGTTTCTACATGCATTTACACAAATCTTCTTTAATGATGAGCATCAAGTTTTTGAGGTCATGTGTGGAGCTAACTTGGGACCATAAAGTTTGTTAAAAAAATAAATGAAAAGATTTTAGACCTTATCCTAGCCAGCCAGACTAATATGAGTAAATACAGTGTATCAGTTTGATAAAAAGCTGGTAGAGCTCGATTTCAAAGGCAGGACTAACGGGGCGAGCATCACTAGGTTGGAACCAATCATATAACTGCGGATGTGATGCGCAATTTTTGTAATTTTGTAGTCTGTGAAACAGGTCAAGCAGTCGAAGAACCTCCCCAGTGAACGATTTCTTCTGGTTTTCCCTTAAATAATTGAGGATATAAGGTGTGCTTTCTAGTACGTTCTTAATTTTGATTTCATTTTTTGTCTTTGGTGAATGCAATACGCTTCGGTAGATTCTTGCTGAGCTATAACAAAATGCTGAAAGTTTCAAACAAATCTTACTTTTAAACAGAAGTTTGACAAGAAAAAAAAACTGAGAGAAAATATATATTTAAAGCTTTTTCAGTTCACCTGAAGTGTGTAGAAAATTTACACAACCAAAACAAAAACATTTTAAACATGGCTACTTTCAATAATTATTCAATTTAACAAGAGTTTCAGCAATGTTCAAACTTAAGCCGTGCTTACACTGTTCGATTTTTTACCCTTTCCAGTCGTGCAAGAATTTTCGATCGGGCCGACTTTCAGTCTGAATTTGCGTCGTGTAGTGTACAGGTGGTAACGAGGGACAATCAGCCTCTCACGATCACCTCCCAATCAGGAATCGTGAGGTGGTTGGTTCGAAATTCAGTCGGCCGTTGTGGGCAAATCGCTCAGTGGGCATGCACAAACAAGGATTCTTTTTTCTCTCAGACGAAAACACAGAAGCATGGTGGGGGTGTGAGTGAAATGGTGTTCTTTCTGTAAAATTGACAGACCATAGTAGCCACGTCTGCTCAGCCATGTGTTTGTCCAAATAGTCGTTGCCTTTTCTTTTTAGGGCTTTCACCACGCAAACCTGCACAAATTGCCAAGGCAGCGTATTTCTCTCTAGTGAGCTTCATGTTCCCCTTCTACTCGTTTGAATTCCGGATAGAAGAGACAAAGTAGCGCAATCTCACTGCAGAGCTGAATCCATCATGGTTTTTAGACATACAGTGTGAGCAGTTAGATCTCATCAGAGCGTCGGGTCGCACAGTGGGAGAACATACATAGGGAGCTGTGAACTCACACTGTAAGATGAAACTTTGTGGTTTCATCTTACAGTCTGAGCTGTAGCTGTGTGCAATGATTGAGAGAAAGAAAGAAGAAAAAAAAAAAATCGCACAGTGTATGCCCGACTTTAAACAACCAACTTTGTATTGTGAGATCAAAACCCTTTCACTTTTGGTGAATAAATATAGGGGTGTCCCAATCTGATAATAAAAATCGGTCTGATATTAGCCAGAAAATTTATATGTGATTTTAATGGCCTGCAATTAAAATATCCGGTATTTTCATAATGATAGAAGCCCTTTAATATTTAACAATAATAGGGGAAATAAAGATCAGAAACCTTCAAAAATAAATGAACCAAAGTTAGTAAAATAAGAGCTCAGATCATGTTATTTGAAACATACAGATTTAAACAGAGGATTAGAGAGGTAGATCGAGCTTCTACATGTCTCGATAAGCAAATGTCAGCAATCACATCTGGATTAAAATGATTTCTACCTGTTTGTTTAAAGAGTAATGTTGAAAAAAAAAGTCTTAAGCAACTTAAGCAAACAAACAAATAACATGTAGATTAACATTGATGTGGACTATTGCATTATACCAGGAATGAAGCATGATGCTGGAATGCAGATGGGGTTTAGTTGCAATAAAGTCTGGGAGCCTGTGTGTCAGCAGTCTGTCTTACATCAAACAAAGCTTAAATATTACACTTGTGTTATCCTGAAATTATTTATGTGTTCGGAAGCAACAGAAATATGTTGCAACGGAAAATCTCTTAGACAAGGTTTTTTTTAAACACACCAATTTTCAGCAAATAGTATTCAAGCCTTTTTAATCTTAAAAATCAAAACCTTACAAAGAGAACAGAATGCTATCCAATCGGTTTCAGTATGCTAAAGCTTAAAATTCCACACCAAAACTAAGGGAAACAGTCAGTGCTAGTTTAAATACTGTTAAAATATGTTTTGAGAGAACAAGATTCCATCTAGTAAAAAGGCTTATTTATTAAGATAGTATTTGTTTTGTTTGTTTTGCTCTTTAATTTTTAGAAGGGGACAAAAGCAATAAGTAGGGATATGTAAGCCCTTTCTAAGACAATTTGAAAAAAAAATTGTCACCTCAGCAGATGGGATAAATTAGTAGAAATAATTATTTTGTGACTGTGCTTCATTTCAATTTAGCAGCTGATATAAATACATTTTACTACTCAAGCACAGATTTGGTGTTTTTAGTGAAAACAAGAAAAACAGGGATACCAATGTGGAAGAAGAAAGTTTGTATTGTCATAGTACCTTTTAAAGGAATAGTACACCCAAAACATGATTAGCCTTCATTTTCTACTCACCCCCATGCTGAACAACACTCTGGAGTACTTTTTTGATATCTCAAATGCATCTGGAGATCTGGGAGGCTTCTTGCTGTCTGCTGACATTCAAATAATGGAGGTCTATTGTGCCCGAGACAGAAAGGTCCATAAAAGTCCACAAAAACGTGTCAATATTCCTCCATGCTGCTCGTCCAATGTATTCCAAGTGTCCTGAGTGGGTAGCATCCAGAATTTACTCGAAACGAAGTAATTTAGAATGTTTTTAGAGCATAAACAGTAGTGTATAGTATTTCCTAAAAGCGCGTTCACGAGTCTACGGAAACCGCAGCAGACCAAACGAGACGAAAGTGCACATTCAGCTCGGCAAAGAACTCCTGCTCTTCCTCAACACTGAAGTCCTCAGACATTTTTCTTTCATTGTTTCTTTCTTTGCACAGGTAAACAGCACATTTCTTCTTCTACGCTTGCATTATCAGCAGAGCAGACGCTGAATGCGCACTTTCATCTGGTTTGGTCTGCCGGCTTCCATAGCGTCCTGAACGCGCTGGCGCGCGCTTTCAGGAAATACTATACACTACTGTTTATGCTCTAAAAACATTCTAAATGACTTCGTTTCGAGTAAATTCTGGATGCTACCCACTCAGGACACTTGGAATACATTGGACGAGCAGTATGGAGGAATATTGACACGTTTTTGTGGACTTTTATGGACCTTTCTGTCTCGGGCACCATAGACCTCCATTATTTGAATGTCAGCAGACAGCAAGAAGCCTCCCAGATCTCCAGATGCATTTGAGATATCAAAAAAGTACTCCAGAGTGTTGTTCAGCATGGGGGTGAGTAGAAAATGAAGGCTTATCATGTTTTGGGTGTACTATTCTTTTAACATCTACATTGCAATGATTTTGTTAAAAATGCACCACTTTAGAGGCAGAAAAGCTGTCCTGCCTAAATAAACTTTTTTAGCCAGTCAGTTTCAGCAGTAGATTTATTCCTCGTTGCTTACATGGCCAAGAAATCTACTGGACAGACCTTCAGAAACCCAGTCAAACCATGACTTAGGTCTACCTCAAAAGATAACCAGGAAATTACAAATACACAAGCTGCCTGGTTAAAAAACACCTTTCGTTTGTTTATTTATTTATTTTGTTGTTTTCTTGTATAAACCAAATGCCTGTATTGAACTGATAATGGATCTTTATTGCCATGAACTGATGTCTTTCAGATTCTAACTAAATTATTTTAGGGAGAGTCTGTTCAAGTAAAACGGAAGTAATCTGTGATTAATCGACACAGTTAGCTTGTGAATCACAACCTAATACATAACACCATACAGTTAGATAGTTTAACACGTATCAGGAGGGAAAAAACTCTACCTAAGCCTATCTATGTAAATACATCACAATAACCCGCGGCTGTGCTTGCTACAGCTCTCATTGTGAGTGCTGAGCTGTCAGTTAACTCACACTTTGTATGGCAGCCGGGGGTCCGACGTGAGGGTAATTTTAAAAGTTACTTTGGACCTAAACAACAGGAAGAAAAGAGCGCTGTTAACATACAAGCAATGGGCTTTTCAGAGAATTCAAATTCAAAGAAAATATCAAACAAGAAAGAGGCTAAACTCACATCTTGTATGAGAAGCAGGACCGTTGCTGTCTGTTTATACACACCCGGAAGTCCGAAGGACCCTTACATACACGTCATCGCTGTAAAACACCGGTATCATTCATACATAACCGATAACCTACATACATCTACATGTTTGCTTTTCTTTTTCTCAAACTCGAGTTTATTTTTTTTTATCAGATTTTTTTTTCCAAAGTCCGATATCTTAATTCAAGGCACTAAAAGGTTCTCTTCTCAGCAGGCATTCATTGCAGATTACTAAATTCTACCGTAAATAGAGACAACAACGCGCAGAAACATTAATAGTAGTTACAGCGAGTAAACTATTTATTGAACGTGCCACCATTTTTCTCATTCAGTATATTTATAGAGGTGCTATTGACATGACATTTTCACCAGATGTTGGTAACAATCTACACATACAAAGAAATTAAACCATAGATGTTCAGAAGTTAAGTTATTTGTAAACAAGTGAAATGACACAGGGAAAAAGTATTGAACACACTTTCTGAAATGTATTTAATACTTTGTGCAAAAGCCTTAGTTTGCACTAACAGCTTCAACACACCTCCAGTGTGGAGAAATTAGTCACATGTTTTGCTCAGGTTTGATTTTGGCTCATTCTTTAACACAAAAACTCTTCAAATCTTGAACGTCTCATGGGCCTCTTCTATAAACTCTGATCTTTAGTTATTTTCATTGATTTTATATTACGTAGATTCAAATCAGGTAATTGTCTGGGTAGCAGAGACAACTTTTTATAGGCCATCATTTAGGACTGAACCAGGTGATGTTAATTTTCACTCACACTTTTCACTGATTACTGAGAGATTTCGGCTGGTGTCTTGGCTTTCCATGCCTTTTTGCTCCGCCTTTTCTTGTTCAATACTTTTTCCCTGTGCTATTTCACTTTATTACTTACTTAGTTTCTGGACATCTATGGTTTGATTTCACTGTAGAGAGAGAGAGAGAGAGAGAAATGGCTGTAATAATATTAATAATAATAATAATAATATTTTCATTTTCCAAATATGATTGCAATTGGGTTTTGATGTCTAAACATTCAAATGATGAACCCTGAACTGTTAAGGCTGCACATTTTATTATGTTTTGATCGTAAATATTTTGAATTTATTATATTGATCTTTAAATAGCAGGGATATTAAATTTACTACTATATTTTCTTACAAAATTCTACTCTATTTCTTACTAAATTTATTGTTAAGTTATTGGAAAGTTTAAAGAAACAAATTATTTTTTAGTATAGTATAAATAAAAGTATAAATTATCGATATTGATGGAATGAGGAATCACTTTAAGTAAAAGTAAAGCTCATGGGGGAAGTTCGATGCTTTGAACAATGTCCTGATGGTAAACTGGTTTTGTCCTTCATACAGCTGTGTCCTTTAAGAGTTGTTCTCAACAACAACAAAAACTACATATATACTTTACATTTTTTTCCTCAAGTCATTTCAAAGACACTTTCATTTCTAATACAATTATTTTTTAACTATTTAAATTTCTGTTTTTTACATTTAAATATATTCAATAATGTAACTGAGATCCTGCACCAGGATCTTTGTAAATGACCCATCAAAACGATTATTTTTATTTATTTATCATGTACTTGCAAAAACATATTTCATAAATAGAGCAAAAAGAAAATCTCCATGAACAGCTAATTAAGTATAGTCTTCAACCTTACCTTAACTATAGAAGTTAGACACAGAAGGAGTTTGCCCTACAACCAGATGGTTGTTGGTTGAAGCCCTGGGTCCAGCTTTGAGTGTTGCTGTGTCCTTGGGCAACAAACGTCACCCGCTTTGGCTACTGAACGTGGACGGAAAGCTCTATGGTGCAAGTGTACTGCAGCCTTGTATATATGTACTACTGGTACTAGGAAAATTAACAAATAAACCCTATATCTGTGAAGACATAGAAGAGTAGCAGTCTGATTCCAAATATTCTTCTAAAAGGTTTTTTTAACAAGATATAACTGGATGGATCATTAATAACAATAGATAAAATAGCTTATCTGCGATGAAAGTGTAGAGGGATATCTTTAGAAAAACAGCCAAGTGACAAATAAACAACCCATCTGACACAAAGGATTCTGATGTACATACATTACCACCTCATTGTTCATGCAGAGACATTACCCTATTTATTCAGCTTCTGCTTCAGGGGACAACTAGGTTCAATAAGTTCAATCTTACATTTAAGATTAAGCCACACAACATTTGTGTTACTAATGATCTAACATAATAAATTGCTGCATTTAGTTATTATCTGCTCCAGAGATATTTATTATACACTCATGTTGTCAGCTTTCATGATTACCTAAAGGTGGAATAGGAAACCAAATTAATTGAAAACCGGATCATAACAGCAATTGTTTCAGGAAAGGACAGGCTATGTTGCTCGGCAACAGAAGCTTAATTTCAGCTTCCAGTTTCTATTAAATGGAAACTTTTTTTTATTTGGTGGTTTTGCCGAATGTCTATTTTTGCTACACACCACTGCTTACTGCTCTAATAAATCCCAAAATACACATACCACATACCTTGTTTTATCCTGTCTCAAGGACTAACCCTAACCCTTGCATACCAATCACTGGGGAAGCATCTGGAGAAGACAATATAGATATTCTAGGTGTGCAATGGCAAAAATTCACCTTGGTCCTGAAGATGTAATCTAACAAATTAACAACCCAAATGTTTGATGAATAAATACTCGTGAGTCCAATTACTACCAGATCTGGAGAATCAAGAAAGTCCTTACAGACAATCAGACAACATGAGGTTGAACGAGAAAAAAAGCCCAAACAAAAATAAATTAAAAAACTAGGCTTTGGATCTCACGCAAATTTTGCTATGGTAATATGAAAAAATACTTTTAAAAAATCGGAAAAAAATATATTTATATTATTTGTTTAACCTTTACTTATTCACGTTGTCTCATTGAGATCCAAAATCTAATTTACAAGAGAGAAATAGTTGATAAAAACAAACAAGATAATAATATTATATATATATATATATATATATATATATATATATATATATATATATATATATATATATATATATATATATATATATATATATATATATATATAATATAATGTATGATATAAAATATATGTATAATATATGATATAGCTTTTTTGGAAAACACTATAAAAGTCTTTCTAAATTTGAGTCCTCTATTGTTGAAAGGAAGAGGGGATGATGCAGACATGCAGCGCAGGCTGTATAATGACAGCTCACAAAGAGAATAAAAGCAGTCTCTTTCTGATGACTCAGACATAAAGCGCAGCTGCTCAGGCGTAACCTTTGGGATTTCTGTGGCAAGACCCTCAGAAAAACAGAGATCAAATGGATAAAAAGACACTCAAGACCCAAAAATGGAATAAAGTAGCTGGTGTTTGCTAAAACATGGCAACCTGTTATTAAACATATTTACATTACCAAACAACATATTCAGACTCTGATGAACTATTGCAGGAATAAACAGATTTAATATAGAGATAAAAGAAGTAAAAACATTGGTAATAAAGCACTGAAGTTACTGGTTTGATCTTTCTGTATTTGATCATCAAGAGAACTGTGAAGTCCCATCTGGACAGGAATACACTTTTTGTGCAATGTCTTAATCCACCACTCTGGGAGAATAATATCTTGCTTTTAAGGTTTAGTTTTTTTTTTTTCATCATCTGGTTTAGGACAGAGTAAGTGTGTTTCAAACTACTGAAACACTGCTCAGAGTGCGTTGTGCAGCCTGCACTGAAAGAGCTTATTAACATATCTAAAGCAAGTCCTGTGGGCAGAGAGAGTACAAGCCAAAACCAATTAAATTTCAAATGAACGCTGTCATCAGTGTTAATGCAGAGTATGCATGTAAGAATATGCAGTATAGATACACCATGTAGTGCATGCAATTTATATACAGGTATAGCAGTACATCCCTCTGAGTATAGCTAACTTTTTTTTTTTCAAACATAGACATGTGTACTTTGATATCACCAGTAAATTTCTACACTTTTGCTCAAAAAGGATGAGATGTTATAGCAGAAGGTTTTAGTGGAGGCAGCACACTGTATATGAAGCTGTGTTCTTTACTTTAAAGACTACCTCAGTCATCCTCAAAGAAGATGACAGAAACTGTCATACACCAACTACTTACTCATTAATCCTGTTGGAGATGAAGACACGGCAAGGGAATGTCTGTGCAGGTTTGAGTAATTATGTGGTTCATTGAACATTTAGAAATGTGCTCGAGATATATATCTATTTTTTATAGTAAAATGATGAGTTCTGAATAAATCTTATGTTTTTGACTAGGAGTTATTAGGAACAGCTACCTTTGAAAAAAAGGCTACTGTATAGGCGCTCTTACAGGTAATGTAATTTAGAGAATAGTTCTTAAATTTTGAAGTGAGCACTGCATGAAAAGTGGGATTTTCGTCAATATGCGGCACTGTAGGTTGTCGTGGAACTTCAGGTTAGCGGCAGTTTACGGCAATTTGCAGGCTTCGCCGAAAACTCCCGTAAATTGTCAGAAATTGACGTGGACTTTCTAAGGCAGTGTTCCCCCCATGCCTCCCCCCCATGGAATTCTAGGGGAGGCTTTAACATGTAAATGAACATGCTGTGAGCTATACAAATGCAAATCAGGGTTGCAGGGGGGGTTTACTCCAAGTGACATTTTTCTAAAAGGTAAGAAAATCTCTGATACAAAGAGATCAGGCTCAGTATAGCCTCTTACATTTTAGCTTGAATTGATTTATTTAATTAAAGTATAGAGACCAAAACAGATCTTTAGCTGACAGAGCAATACATTTAGAGCAGTAATTATATAAAAAAAAAAAATTGCATTTAAGATAAAAAATAAAATGTTGTCTGTCAATATGCTCAATTCACAATAACTTAAGTGGAAAAGTTTCAAGAAATGAGTCTGAGATGATTCACTTTATAACATGGCGCATTATCCTGTTGGAAGTAGCCATCAGAAGATTGGTACACTGTGGTCATAAGGTCCGGCCAGGTCAAGATCCGCAATTGCAATCGCACCAAACAGGAAAAAGAACATCCACAAATTCCGGTTCGTCAAATTAAAATATAGCAGCAACAGATCGGTGACTAGA